TGAGCAGCCCGGAGGTCTTACTGAGTGTCGTGAGCCTGCGTCGCGTCCTGTCTCGCCTGTTCGTTCTGGTCGTACCAGTCGTCGTGTTCCTCGTCCGCGTCAGCCGGCTGTCCCCGGTGCCCACCTCGTAGCCCTGCGTCCTTCCTCTGCTCCGCAGCGTGTTCCTCTGCCGTTCCCCCCTGCGTCCTCTCTGCCTAACCTTGCGGACCCTGAGTCTGACCAGTTTCGTGCTGCCCACCCTACTGTAACGAGTCTGTTAGCCACTGTTGTCACTGACCCGTCGTTTGAGTCTGCTGCTGCGTCTGCCTTGGTCGCTGAGCTTGTTGACTTTGCTGTTGCCTGTCGTCTAAACTACGCCGCTCGTCTTGTTGCTGAGTCTGAGTCTGTCTGTCCTCCGTCCGTCGGGGGTGAGTGTGCTCTTGGCACGGACGTCCTTGAGGACAGACACGAGGACCTTGAGTGTCTTGCGGCCGCTGCGCCTCATCTTGTGGCCATGCTGCTTGCCCCTGAGGGAGACCCGGATGCACCAGACATCCCTACCCCGCGCTCTTACGCTGAGGCGATTGCGGGTCCCTACTCCTCTCAGTGGCAGTCAGCCATGGACGCAGAGATGGCATCCTGGAAGTCCACAGGCACCTACGTCGATGAGGATCCTCCTCTTGGGGCGAACATCGTCGATGGCATGTGGATTTTCAGGGTGAAGCGGCCGCCAGGTTCTCCGCCTGTCTTCAAGGCTCGCTACGTTGCTCGAGGCTTCAGTCAGCGAGAGGGAGTCGACTTCTTCCAGACCTTCTCCCCCACCCCGAAGATGACCACTCTTCGGGTACTGCTGCACGTTGCTGCTCAGCGTGACTACGAGCTTCACTCGCTGGACTTCAGCACAGCCTTCTTACAGGGCAGCCTGCACGAGGAGATCTGGCTGCGCCGCCCACCTGGCTTCACTGGGTCGTTCCCGCCTGGTACCCAGTGGAGCCTCCGGCGGCCAGTCTACGGTCTCCGCCAGGCGCCTCGTGAGTGGCACGACACACTGAGGACTACACTTGCGGCTCTTGGGTTTGCTCCTTCGACTGCTGACCCGTTGCTGTTTCTGCGCACCGACACTTCGCTGCCGCCGTTCTACATCCTCGTGTACGTCGACGACTTGGTCTTTGCCACTGCTGACACTGAGGCTCTCGCCCTGGTGAAGTCGGAGCTGCAGAAGAGACACACGTACACAGACCTGGGTGAGCTGCGCAGCTACCTTGGCTTGCAGATCACCCGGGACAGAGCACGCCGCACCATCACTTTGACTCAGTCACACATGGTGCAGCAGGTCCTTCAGCGCTTCGGCTTCACCTGGTCCTCGCCACAGTCCACTCCTCTGCCTACAGGTCACTCGCTCTCAGCTCCACCTTCGGACGAGTCCGTAGAGCCGAGTGGTCCTTACCCAGAGCTAGTGGGTTGCCTCATGTACCTGATGACCTGCACTCGTCCTGACCTTGCGTACCCTCTTGGCCTTCTGGCACGCTACGTGGCTCCTGGTCGACACCAAAAGGTGCACTGGGATGCTGCGAAGAGGGTACTGTGCTACTTGTGCAGTACATCGGGCATGGGGCTCGTGCTTGGAGGGCGGAGAGACGTTGTCCTCACTGGACACTCAGACGCTTCTTGGGTTGACGACCAGGCTACGCAGCAGTCGTCACAGGGTTACACTTTCAGCCTTGGCTCCGGTTCTGTTTCTTGGCGTTCTACTCGCTCGTCTTCTGTTCTCAGCTCCAGTTGTGAGGCTGAGATCTACGCCACCGCCATGGCTGCTCAGGAGTTACGCTGGCTCACTTACCTGCTGACCGACCTGGGAGAGCGGCCTCGTTCTCCTCCAGTGCTCTACGTCGACAACAAGGCCGCCATTGCCTTGTGTGAGGAGCACAGACTGGAGCACAGAACGAAGCACATCGCTCTACGCTACTTCCTGGCTCGAGAGTTGCAGCAGCGGGGTCAGCTTCGCCTTGCTCACGTGGCCACTCGGGCCAACACTGCTAATATATTCACCAAGGCACTTCCGTCTGGTGACCATCAGCGCTTTTGTACTTTGTTGGGCCTTGTGCCTACGTTTCCACACTTGCTGTAGACTCTGCTTGTACTGTGATCCATATATATATACCTGCATGCTTGTTCTTGCTAGGTAGTGATCACTGTACTGTGCTTGTTGCATATATACCTCTGCATGTGAACTGGCCTTGTGGCCCTTTGCTTGTGCTCAGTGTGTGGTGACGTTGTGATCCACCCTGAGCTTGCTTTGCTTTTCTTGACTGGTCTTGTGACCCGTTGCTCTCCCCCACTTTGCCTATGGGGGTGTGTCAAATTATATATGTTGTATTTGTGTAGGCTGTAGTGGGGTAGCCAATATGGGGTACAACCCCTCTAGGGTTTGATACTTGTACCCAACTCTCTTTCAATGCATTCATTCATTCCTGCCTGTAGATTCTGATAATTGTGACCGGTGGAAATCGGTAGAAGCAGATCAACACAACCATGAAATGCTTGAAAAGTTGAAGTTAACCATATCATTGAGAATGGCTGGAGACACATGGAGTAGAGAACGAGGGACATGGCTGCAGCACGAGACATAGTGCCAAAGCAGATCACTAACCCCACGTCTGATTGCCATCAACGCCACATCAATAAGAATACTCTTTTGTTCGTGAAAGGCGAACAAAACAGTGCAATTAAACACTATTACGCCATAAGGGCTCCTTCGATTAAGCATTGTGGAGAATTAAGGCAAGGGGGCGCAAAATGAGAGGAAAAACGATTTTCCAAAAAGCTTATTGATAAACACTAAGAACAACGTAGAAGATTGTTATGGAGTTGTGTACTGGTTGAATCGAGCTTCAATAGGCATGCACGGAGAAGGCTACATAAAAAGAGGGGTTTGGGTTAGAGGACAGAGCTCCTCGACCCGATCAGAGGATCTAAGAATACAAACGACTCGGCTCTGATCGGAACGAGGAGCTCTGCCCGCTCCTTCTCCACTTCACTCCAATCCACCTTCTTCCTCCTTAGCTCCACATATTCTATCAACTCTCCCCTCCCTTTTTTCTCGTGCTCTCCCCATGCGTACTCATTTCCTCGACTGTCGAGAAGTGTCGACGACCCGTAGGTCCGCCCTTCCTCCCTCGGCCCGCGCCGCTCCCCATTTTCGCTTTTAGAAACTATTGACGCTAAAAACTCCCTCCTACAACGAGAGGAAAAACAACCGTCACAATCTTGGGCCGATCCAAAAGTTGCTTGCTATACAGCGGCTAGGAGACTACAGAGGAAGTGCGTTAGTGAATGGAGTTGGTACAGTGGGACTAAAATAACCATCACAATCTTGGGCCGATCCAAGAGTTGCTTGCTAGACAGCGGCTAGGAGACTACAGAGGAATGTCAAAACTGGGAGCTTAGCTTAGGAACCATACTTGGGCTTAGGAGCAAGACTTAGAGATGGTAGCGAGAGGTTTGGCAAAAGGAAGGGGTTTGCACTAGAAAGGATGTTACAAGATATAGGAAAGGGAAAGGGAAAAGGGAAAGGGTACACCACCAGCAGTTGGTTCTAATAACTAATCTAATACACTAGCAAGCTGCAGGCAGTTATAAGATATGCAATATAAATTAACACACCCCCGTAACTGCCTACGGCTATAGCTAGTGGTGTCTGGTAGCAGGTCGCCTGAAGAGCAGTTGCTGTAGCTGGGATACGCACAGAAACAGCGGTGGCTGATCGGCAACACCTCTGACTGCCAGAACGGAGGGCGGAGGGCTAATTTGGAGGGCGTAGGCTGCCGGTGTTACACACCAACGGTTGGATAGGAGGAGGAAGCTGGTGGCGCACAGGCGGAGAGCCGAGGAGAAGCGGCTGGAGGAGCAAACAAGCGGAGGAGGAGGCGGCTGGAGGAGAGGAGAGGAGAGAAGGGGCGGCTGGTGCAGAGGAGAGAGGAGACGAGAGGAGAGGAGGCGGCTGGCGCGGCAGAAGCTCTCCCGCCACCCCCTCACCCTCCTCCCCCCCCCCCACAGCGACAGGCGCTGCAGGGAGAGAGCAAGGAGCTGGTCACCCCCGCCACCCCCTCATCCCCCTCCCCCCCATGCGCTGGCGCTGGCGGAAGTGCTGGCGTCCGCCGTCGGCGCTGGCGCTGGCGTCGGCGCTGGCGCTGGCGTCGGCGCTGGTCGCTAGCGCTGGGCGCTGGCGCTCGCGCTCGCGCTCCCGCTGGCGACTGTCGCTGGCGCATTCGCGAACGCGCTGGCGGGTCGCTGGCGCTCGCCATGATGTTAGCCGCGACCGTCGCCCTGAGCGCCGCGAAGAGGCAGGCGAATTGAAGGTGACGGGGGGCAGCGCGACGGGTTCAGCATAAGCTCCGGAAACAGCAGCAGATTTCGAGCAAGCGGCATAGTGGGCCGCCATGGTAGAAGGCGGAGTTGGTGGGCCCATGTAGAATAGGTCCTAGAAAAGACCACGCTCTGATACCGTGTCAAAACTGGGAGCTTAGCTTAGGAACCATACTTGGGCTTAGGAGCAAGACTTAGAGATGGTAGCGAGAGGTTTGGCAAAAGGAAGGGGTTTGCACTAGAAAGGATGTTACAAGATATAGGAAAGGGAAAGGGAAAAGGGAAAGGGTACACCACCAGCAGTTGGTTCTAATAACTAATCTAATACACTAGCAAGCTGCAGGCAGTTATAAGATATGCAATATAAATTAACAAGGAAGTGCGTTAGTGAATGGAGTAGGTACAGTGGGACTAAAAGTACTTAAAGAGCCAGCCTTGGGATTGCCGACAAGAATATCTGAAAGGTGTGGTTTGCTCGACAACAGGTTTCTACGGAAACACCAACTTCATCAGTTACATGTTCAACCAAGTGACGATTCCTAATGCAAAAAGTTTTAGAAAAGCAATAAGAACATGCACTCTACAAATGCTGCAATAACCTAATCCCATCAGGGTGGGTTGAAATACCGTAAGAATCACAAGTTCCCCAGTCATTTCTAGGCCCATATGGCGAGCAGGCTCATGGCTCCAGCTCCCAGAAACAAAAACACAAACCCAAAGAAGTATGCAATCGGATCCTTGGGGGTGTTTTCGTCGTGCTCGTCGAACGTTGGCACTAACAAGTCAACGAGTCCGTTGTAAATGAGGATGCCAGCCGACACGGCATTGAACGCGCCCTCAGTTGCCAGAGCAGCCTGGCTGTTGGAGTTATAGGACGAATGGACGGCCAACCCTATAGCCACGCCCAGAGGTGTGGTGAATGCAAACAGCAGCCCCATGCACAGGGTCTTGAGGTGTGAGAAGCGGCACGGGGCGACTGCAGTTCCAAGACTTATGCCCTCGAATCCCTGATAGAGGAGACAGAGAGGGGGAGGAGGGAGAGAGGGGGAGGAGGGAAATTGGACAGATCATTGAGTTGGAGCCTTCTTAGACCCCCAAAAGAAATGGAGTGATAAGAAAGTGGCGAGGTGACGGGTGGGAGAGGGGGTGACCGAGCCTTGCAGCATGTAAAAAATGTAGCTGACGAGATTGAAGAACAATCGCTCTTGCAAAGAGGGGACCGAGGTGAGGTGAGTGAAGGGAGAAATGAGGGGAGCATGCAAAAGACACTCCAAGAGGACACGAAGACGAGTGCACAGACAAGGATACACATCTGGTGGAAGACAAGAGCAATAGCGAGCCCCTTAATCTCCGCGCTATCGTGGTTGGCATCGAGGGCGATCCCAATGAAGATGGAGTGGAAGAGACCTTTGAGTCTGACGCATAAGTCACCTAAATGGCAAGCACCTAAGAGCACACCTGGTGGAAGACGAGGGCGACGGCAAGCCCCTGGATCTCGGCGCTGTCATGGTTTGCCCCGAGGGCGATGCCAATGAAGATGGAGTGGAAGATGATACCCGCCTCTAGCGTGTACGCCACTGCCCGCAGCGACGACAGCGCCACTGCTTCCCTCATCCGGCTCTCCTCGCTCTCCTCCCGCCCTTCCTGCTCCTCCCACTCAGCTTTCCCGGTTTTCATTGCTGCCTTCTCCTCCTCCCCTCCTCTCACGTCCAGGGCGCAGTCGGGGCACGCGAGGCACTTAGCTAAGCACTGCGCGTCGGTGCACTTGGCTTCCATGCACTTAGCGTCAGCGCAAGTGGAATCCGCACACTTGGTCCCAATGCACTGGGATTGAACACAGGCAGCAGAGGGACAGGTGGCTTCCATGCAGGTGACGCCACGGCAGGTGTTATTTGGACAGGTTGTGTCTGGGCACGTGCTACCTTGGCAGGTGGTTTCATGACAGGTGGCGTCATGACACGTGATCTCCTGGCATGCAGTGCTGTGACAGGTGGATTCCGGGCATTCGGGGCAAGTCACATCCGGACACGTGGCATCGTGACAGGTGGCATCGTGACAGGCGGCATCGTGACAGGTGGCATCGTGACAGGTGGCATCGTGCCACACCACTTCGTGGCATGGGGTGTCATGGCATGTGTCATCGTGGCATGCCTTGTCATGACAAGCAACAGCAGCAGCACTGCATGGGGCATCACAGCATGGGGGGGAAGCATGGCATGCCACATCAGGAGGGGTGCTTCCCCCATCCGTTTGCCATGCCTTCTGCTGCTTCCCATCTTCCCTCAACCTCCCATCCCTCTTGCTGCTTCCCCTGCCACCTCCAATGCCGCCCTTGCTAATTCCCGCTCCCTTCCTCCTCCTCCCGCCAGCCAGCAACGCAGCAACAGCTCGTGCCACGCGCCCCACACCACCCGCACCCAGCCTCCGCTTCTTACCGCCACTCCTGCTGCTCCCACCAGCAGAACCGATAGAGCCAACAGAACCAGCGGCAGATGCAGCAGCAGAAGCGGACGGGTGTCTGCGGCGCCAGGAGAGGAGGAGGAGCTTCCTGAGGTAGCACTCTACGAGGAAGGAGCAGAGCGCTGAGAAGAGGATGAAGACCGGCGCCCAGGGGAAGGACGAGGAGGAGATGTCCAGGCATGGGTTTGACAGCGCCTCCTGTGCGCCTGGGTGGGGAGGGAGGAGAGGAGAAACCGGAGAGAAGAAGGAAGTGGGAGGGAGGAGAGGATGAAGACAGGTGCCAAGGAAAGGACGAGGCGGAGAAGTCCAGGCAGGGATTTAAGAGCGGCTCCTGTGTACCTGGTTAGTTAGGAGAGGGCAATTGGTGGGGGGAGGAAGGAATGAAGACTGGCGCCCAGGGAAAGGACGACAAGGAGAAGGGATTACACAATCTACTGGGCACCTGGGTACAGAGGAGAGGGAGAGAGAACCTACTTGGCTTGGCACCTGGGTACAGAGGAGAGGGAGGGATTTTGAGAATTCTCAAAATCAACCTCAAAAGAGAAGGGATTCCACAATCTACTTGGCTTGGCACCTGGGTACAGAGGAGAGGGAGGGACAACCGACGGGAAGTGAAGGGGAGGAGTGGGGGAAGGCGGAGGGTGTAGTGGGGGTGGAAGGGGGAAGGTGAAACGGAAAGGGGTGCTACGCAGGGCTCTGATTGAAAGGCAAGGTACAAGTTACCAGAATTTTACCATATCAAAGATATGCGATTTAATGAGCTCTGACAGAAACCTTTGAACTCGCAGAGGTATCTGACAAAGATTCATACACATATACACACTTGTAAAGATATATCTTAAAAGGTATATACATACATAATATACATATCTATTGATAGTTATTACGCACCAGGGAAGATGTGCACGATGGCTACAGCCAAGACAATGCCAGCAGCAGAGGCGCGGAAGAAGAAAAGCAGCGTCTTATGACGCCCGCGTAGCAGGAATGGCAGGGAGAAACCGATGCTGGAAGGAGAGAGGGGGAGGGAGGGAGGAGGGGGGAAGGCGGAGGAGACTTTGAGAAAACTCAGACGCCAGCGGCAGAGGCGCGGAAGAAGAAAAGCAACGTCTTATGACGCCCGCGTAGCAACAATGGCAGGGAGAAACCGATACTGAACGAAAGCGGGGAGGGGGAAGGGGGTTGCGGGCAGGGAGGAGCGGGGTTAAAACCGGGGTGCACATTCACCTGGGTGGGCATCAGGGAATAACCTTTGATGCCCACATAACGGCCAGATTTCGCCCCAACCCCCAGAAAATTTGTTCCTCCATCCCCCAAAAAAATCTGAATGTGTACCCCGGTTGTAAGAGGTGTCAAGGGGTTATGCGTGGTTCAGAGGGGTTTATGAATGTGAAGCGCGAGGGTGAGGAGGGTCGTAATGGAATTGACAGGGGAAATAATGGGAAGGAGTGAAGGTAATGCGGTTCAGATGGGTGCGGATGCGTGAGGATGGGTGTGGATGGGTAATGAAGGGAAAAGAGACAGATGGGTTAAGAAACGGCCATGGCACCACACATACACACTAATTAGAGTTGCCTGCTACACCTGATTATTCATGCAGCAGTAGCAGAAGATTAGGATGAAACCACGTACATATCTTTTGAGGCGCCTCAAAGATGCACGCACCCAGCAGTAGCATGGGATTAGGATGAAACCATGGACATATCTATACCCGTTCATGAACTGCATGCGTCTAATGCTGTTCTCGAATCTGTCTGTTTCGTAAGTACGCACCAGGCGTGTGAGCTTTCGGCAGTGTGTGTTTTGAGTCGACTCAAAACGCACCAGGCGTGTGAGATTTCGACAGTCTGTGCCAGAGAGACCTTTGCCAGACAATGTTTTTGTTCTGCAGTGCACAAACAATAACGCGAGAGAGACTCGCGTCGTGCCATGCTGCAGCTACTAACGAGGATGATTCGCGAAGTAATGAAAGCGAGATTGACTACGAGGATGATTCTCACATGCTACTGACGAGGATGCCCAGCATGCCTCCGATCCGATAGGAGAGTGCCTCAGTGGAAGGCTGCATGGCTGCAGCACAGTCCATTGCCGCTTCTGACGCCGGTGCTGCTGCTGACGCTTCGGCCTGGATGAAACAGAGGACAGAGGGGAGAGGGGAGAGGGGAGAGGGGAGAGGGGAGAGGGGAGAAGGCGGAGAGGAGAGCGGAGAGGGCGGAGGGTGCCTCAGTGGAAGGCTGCATGGCTACAGCACAGTCCATTGCCGCTTCTGACGCTGGTGCTGCTGCGGACGACACAGCCTGGACCAACAGAAGGGCATGGGGGAGGGGGGCGAGGGCAACGGCATACAAAGTTGCATTTGCTGGGTGGAACGGAGAAAGGGGGTTCGCTGAAGAAAGCACGGAAGGGGGACGAGGAGGGGAAAGGTGAAGGGATGTGGGAAAAGGGGAAGAGGGTGGGGGAGGGGGGTTGGCTGGGGGAGAGGGGAGGGGGGAGGGGAAAGGGGGAAGAGGCGACGAGAAAGGGGAGAAGAGGGTGTTGTAAGATTTCAATGCGCTTGAAACAGTAGAAGTCTACGGGGCTGCGTGGGTTGAATGACCAAGGGGAAGGTGCTTCTGTGATGTGTTCGACTGAGCATGAGGAAAGGTAAGTCTGTGGGCATATCGGTGGAGCAAAACGAAATACATGATTGGTTTTGATAAATTCCCGCTATGCGATCGTACAACATGACTCACAGCGCTTCATTAAATCTGTGGGGTGGTTCGATTGAGCGATATGAAATACATGATTGAGCTCAAAGACTCCGATAATAACTTGCGACGAGCGATAGTTCTGATCGTTTCTCGTTTTGCGATCGTACAACATGACTCCCAGCGCCTTGATTACGTAGCCGCAAAGAATGCGTCGCCGGGGGGTTGAGAACCTCACCAAAGTGACGGAGTAGGCCCGATGGACTCGACAGTGAAAGGACGCACGTTCTATTGACTTCGTGAAAGAAAATCACTTTTGACAAGTCTCAAGATGAGGACCGATGGACCGCGTTGACCGATGGGCCGCGTTGACCCAACGAATGCGTCGACCGATGGACCGCGTTGACCCAACGACTGCGTTGACCGATGGACTACGCTGACCCAACGACGGCGTTGACCGATGGACCGCTGGGTCCAACCGTAAGAAGAGACATGTTTCACTGTCCGGGTCAACCGGGTGAATTGAAACGACGCGCTACGAGGACGGGCTCACCATGGAAGCCATGGCTGACTTGGTGCTGATGCCCAAGTCGAAACACAAGCCTCGCGCAGAAGCACTGCCGGCCACGAATGGACTCTTCTGGAGCGACCACAGGAGACTGTCTGACGAGTGATCGCGAATGGAAGGACTTTTGAGACGTCTCAAAAGTCGACTACAGGAGACTTTTGGAGCGACCACAGGAGACTGTCTGACGACTGATCGCGAATGGAAGAAGTGCGGAAAAGGCCACCAGCGTACAGCCGACGGAGGCCTCGCCGCTCCAACGGTAACCGATGTGTACGAAAAAGCTTCGCGACAAGCAAGAGTGCAGCCTATGCGACACGCTGCACAACTAGAGTTGTCGCAGGCCGCATCCACCCGCACGACATAAAGATGCTTCGCAGGAAACTTCCTGGTCGAAACTAATCCTTGGCCGAAGCTATTCCTGGACAACGTTAATCCCGGTCGACGCTAATCCTGGCCAACGCTGATCAGACCAGACTTCAGACACGGAGCACCAGCTCGCCCTACCCAACCACCAGGCACGAGTATAACTCGTGAGTCGCCCTGGTGAGGCAGGAATGTATGGCTGGTGAGAAAGCAAGGGAAGAGGAGACATTGAATGGATGAGCTCGATAAACTTAGTGTTCGTGGAGGTGAGGAGGGGTTGTACAGAAGAACGGATACACAGTAGGATGCATTTAGGTACGGTACGGATTAAAAAGGTGTAGATGTGTTTTTGGCGTATTGCCAGTAATTTTCCCTGGCCTTCTGTGAGCCAAGGAACCTCTTGAGGATTTGGCGCGGGAAACTGGCGATGGGGGAAAGGGGGGTGCTGCGGGCTGGCCTGAACGGGGAAAGTTTGGGGGCAGCGCGCGGAGAGATGTAAAAGGGGAGCGGAACAGGCGGCGCTTTCGGACATGGAT